CAACATTTTTCCTGAACTACAAGGCAATGACTGATCAAAGGGCAAACTCACTGGAATCATTGTATAGGATAAAATTCCCCTGTCCTGATTTCTCCCCTACCCTCCTTAACCACTGCAGGAGGCAGGAAGAAGCAGTAAGTGGGTCTTTTCTTGGTCAGAAGATTTGTCATTGTGCTACATCTCATGTCCTTCCTTCACCATCCCCACGGAGATGGGAAGCAAGAGATGCAGAAACTACTCTATCCTTTGGGCCAAAATGCCCACGTAAAGCCTAGGAGGGGAGGATTTCTCCAACCTCCATCCCTGCATCATTCCCCCTAGACTCTAAAAGTGCTAGTGGGAGGAGAAAAGGCAAATGTGGGGCTATAAGAAAGATATATCATATTGAATGTTTAATGGAAATGAAGAAATTGAGCACCAAGTTCTTACATTCAGCCTTTATTGTGCTCCATTTCTATGCTACAGATTTTTCAGGCTACCTCCTATGCTGATTTTCTAGCTAAGGTGTGGAGTCTAACCCCTCCACAAATTACTCTCCAGCCCAAAGGGACAGTTTTGAAGTCATCTGTGGTTGTAGAACTTGGCCTGTTTTCTCCCAGAAAAGAGTCCACTGTGGCATTATATTTTGAGACAATTAGTTCTTTTTTGAGTAAATATGTATTGACTGTAAAAGACGTGTGCCAGGGGTCATGCCTTGCTATGAGCTCTGAACAAAGCATAGAATGCCCTCCAGCCTCAATAACTAACAATAACTTTAAAATTTGATTTATAAATAAATTGCTATGTGTTGGTTTCTTGTACCACGCACACCATCTTCCAATACATCTTCAATAGCAAGTTCATGCCAGGTAGAGCTTGAGTGGTCCTACTAAGTTGATGCCTGTCTATCTAGTTCATCTACAGCTCATGTGCAGTGGCAGCAGTAAATACAACTTGACTGGTACAGGGTGGGCCTAACTTATGTTGAATTAGTGGCTCTATTCCTAGTTAGGGTGGCCATTGGTCCTGTTTAGAGGTGCACCAATACATCAGTCCCATATCGGATCGGCACTGATATAAGGAAAATTGACTGTATTGGCAATCGCCTTTATCGGTCACTTCACCCTAAAAATGCCATGATAAATGCCTCATGCATGCGTGCAGCTTCAGCGCAGCACAGCACACAGGCAGCCAGGAGTGCAGCCCAGCAGCCTGGAGAGCAGCTGGGTCTGGCCAGTAAGTCTGTTGTGAGGGAAGGTGTGTGGAGGGGCAGATTGGGGCCTCAGTGGTGAGAGAGGGAGTGGGACGGAGGCAGGGGTAGGGACAGGCGCTGCACAGGGACAGCGCAGCCGCAGCCCAACCCCCGTGCCGGGAAGAGCCCGGTGCCACCCTTGCTCCAGCTCACAGCGGCAGCCCACCCTTGCCAGGTGCACACATCTGGGGGAACATGTCCCACCATGCCCTCCCGGGGCACGCCCCGCCATATCCTGCAGATGAGCTACTTGACTCCATCCCTGGCTGTGCAGTGGCTGCCCCTGCTCCGGCTCCAGCCCCAACCCCACTCCCTTCCTCACTGTGGGGGACTCGATCTGCCCCACCCCTGGCCCCTTCCCTCCCACCTCACCCCTTCTCCCACAACAAACTTACCAGCTGGACGCCGCTCTCCAGGCTGTCCAGTTGCATGTTGGAATGAGATTGGTATTGGCCAATATGGCTCATTAAAAATCAGCCATCAGTATCATCCCAAAAATCCTCTGTCAGTGCACCCCTAGTTCTGTTTTATACCAGACTACCCTGTTTTTAAAGGCTTTGTCCCCTGTCCATTTCTAAATGAGGAACGGACTGCAAAAAGTCCTGTTTTTCAGTTCATTGGTGGAAATACATGTCCTCATGATTCTGTTGGCTGTGCCTAGAGGTAGGGCAGTGCACAGCCAGGAGGAGCAGGGATCACAGCCAGCTGTGGGGGGGAGGGATGTGGCCTTTTTGTGGTGGTCCCATCCCTTGCTGCTGATTGGCTAAGGGGGCCAGTGGCCCCATCCCTGGCTGCTTTTTGGCTGAGGAGGCAGGAGCCTCACAGCTGTTTGGTTCAGCCCCCATCCCCTTCACCAAAGGGATGTCCTGTATTCTGAGGTTGCTTCAGTGGTCACCCTATTCCTGGTGTGGACGTAGACTACTATCAAGAGTGCAATTGAGGTCTCCAGTGCTTTACTACAGCCCTCTGCCTCTCACCTTGTGTCTCCTTCTTGGCATCTGCACTGTTCTCAATCCCCTGACCAAAAATCACCTGCCCTTGCATGTATGAGCTCAGTGGGCCAGGTCATCCCTGCTCTGCACCTTGCTTTGCCATTATACGTGTGCCACCTGGACATAACAAATATTAATTCAGAACAAAACATTCTTTAAAATGTTTCTGAGCTTCTTATTTACCAGATATGGATTTGGATCCCAAATTCAGTTGTGCCCCTCTCTTAGGAGGGAAAGCTACTAGAGACGAGGGGCCCAAAATCAGAGCATCAAAGAATCAGAAAGGACTTCCTGGGATATTGAATGCAAAACGTTGTGCAGATGCAGGATTTGTTATTCTTCACCATCCCAAACAGATTTTTCCCCAGTCTCTTCTTGACATCTCCTTCACTGGAGCTTTTCCCAACTTCTCTAGGTAGCTTTTTCCTTTTCCTGACTTTCTTTACAGTTAGGAAGCGCTCCCTGAGATTGCGTCTAGATCTTCTTTGCTATCATCTACCTGCTTTTTCTTGTATCCATTGGCCAGTTCCTGATGATTCTGTTTTAGTCCAAACAAATGTTTTTCTGCATTGGCAATGCATATGAGGTGGACGTGCACCCCCTGAGCATGGCGGTGCACTGCCTATAAAAAGGCACTGCTTAAACTGCTGGTGCCACCTGTGAGTGCCACCCCTCCCCTTGCTGCTGACACCGCTGGCGGCATCTGCAGGTGGTCGCCAACCGCCGGGTGGCGCTCACCCCC